CCCCACTGGGAGCGGGGCGGGGAGGACTGGGCAGGGCTGGGGAGGCCCACCACTGGGAGCCGGGCGGGGAGGACCCACCACTCGAAGTTGGTGATGTACTGGTAGTTGGACTGGCTGCAGATGTCAATGATCTTGGTGAGCAGCTCGTCGCGGTAGGTGGTGCCCTCGGCCTTGTCCACGTGCGTCATCAGCTTCTTGACGATCTCCATCAGGTTCTTCTTGGACACCTGGGAATGGGCAGCACTGTCAGCCCGACGGCCACGTGGGCAGGTCCCAGCTGGCACCTGGGCAGACTGCCCCCTCCCGAGATGGAGCGTGTGGACATGGGCAACCCGGCACGCGCATCTAGGTGGGACGCAGGGACACGTGGGCCAGGCGGTGGGCCAGAGAGCCGGAGGGCCGTGGGGGCGGGCAGGGCCCAGCGCGGACTGCTCCGCAGGCGGCACGGACCCGAGGCCAGGCACGCACCATGCCGTACAGCAGGTCCAGCGCCCGCAGCCGGATGGACTCATCCTTGTCATCCAGACACTGCAGGATGAGGTCCTTGTGGGACTGCACGGACTTGGGGTGGGTCTTCAGGATCTTGGACATGGCCAGCAGCCCCAGGTACTTCACTGCAGGACAGCAGGGGGACAGCGGGGGGACAGCGGGGGCGTGAGCCCCGGGCACAGCCAGAGAGCGCAGGCCGGCTCTGCCTGGGGCTGCCGCCGAGCTGAGCAGCAGGTGCGGGAGGACCCATGCTCGGGGCCGGGACAGGCTGCCCTCCCTTGGCCACCTGTGGACACGTCTAGTACAGGGGCTGCCACAAGGCGCACAGGAAGGAGCCAGAGCCCCATGACGGGGCCATCAGGCCGTGCCCTCCTTCCCAGGAGCCTGTTACCCAGAGCCTGACCCAGACAGCCCACCCTTCCCTGGGCATGCAGCCTCTCGCACACCCGTTGGCTGGCCGCTCCCCAGCCCAAGGCACAGGACGGAGCGTGGATGCCGAGCCGGCGTGCTCCACAGCCCCAGGCCAGGCCAGCCCCGCCCCAGCCCGTCAAACGGTGCGCGCCATCCATCGCCAATCACCCACGGGGCTCTCCCGCCTTGCGGTCAGAGATCACGCAGCCCTTGGGGCGTGGCGGGCCTGAGAGGCTGCGGGCCACACAGGAGGTCCAGGTTGGGCTCCCTAGACTGGAGGGACAAGTCGACGTGGCCGTGCATCCCTGTGACCCTTAAAATCGGGAGCCTGTGGGAGACGCCGGTCTCTCCCTGTCCCGTTACGTGAGTAAACCGGATTACCCAGCAGGGCATCCCAGGCCCACGCTCCAGCCCAGCCCTAGGCTCAGTGCCCGGGGGTGCCTGGCCTGGCCGACCAGGGTGTCGGGGACATGACGCTCGGCTAACGGGGAGCCCTGTCCGCCTGTGGGCGCTCGCCCGTCCCTGCCACGGGGCACCCCGCGAGCATTGCCCATGACGCAGCACATGGAGCCCCGATAGCTGCTGGCCTGCCCTGGTGGGGTTCGGGCACAGGTGCCGACTGGGGCTCCTGTAGGACCAAGCGTCAGCCATGATGGCTCTGCTCCGGTCCTGTAGGGCCCCGGCTCCACGCTTGCCGCCCCGCGCTGCACCATGCCGCAACCGCACCAGAGCCCGCAGGGACGGTGGCACTCACAGTTCTGGTCGGAGTCTTCTATCAGAATCCGCAGCTTCTGCACACAAAGCTGCAGGGGGAGACAGCGCTGCCATGGTCCGAGGCCACGGCACAGCGCGCCACCGGTGCCCCCGCGCCTGCCCCGCCCACTGCCACCGAGCTGGCCTGCCTGTGGCAGCTGTCCCCAGGGACCGGGCAAGCCCAGGACGCACCTGGATGCTGGCGCTGTGGTTGGGCATGCCGGAGGACAGGGAGATGAGCACTGCAACGGAGGCTCGGTCAGACGGCTGGGGCCGGGCCCGCCCACC